AAAAAAAAAAAAGTTCCAGTATATATATCGCCATTTGTAAACGCTATAACTTTCATTTAAACCAATTAATTTACACATATTGGGATTTTGTTAGCAAAGACATGTAGCAGAATACATTTTGTCCTACATTTTTTACTTGACATGTTTAATAGCAAAAAGTCAAAAATATTGTTTTTTTCTCAAAATTGTCAATCTTTTTTTCTTATAGCGCAAAAAATAAAAAGTAAAAAATATAGGAGTTTTTTTTTTTAATTGTTGGGGTTTTTTTTGTTGATAGCACAAAAAATAAAAAACCGCACCGGTGATCAAGTACTACTGAAACAAAGGTCTATTTGTAGTAAAAAAAGGACGTACATTTTGTTTGAGTGCAGTGCTGCATGACCGTGCAATTGTCAGTCAAAGCAACGCAGCGCCGTACCACAAAAAATGGCCTGGTCAGGAAGAGGGGTAAATACTCTGGAGGGCAAGTGGCTAATGATCAATATGTTGCAAAGCAAACAGTCCAGTGTTTGACAAATGCAGATAACAGTTACAAAGACACAATATCAGCAGGAACAGCAAGGCTGGTGATTGATTCTAGCAGCACACTGAGCAGAAGTACAATACACAAATCATATGTAGGATATAGGAGAGGGGCTAATGGAACAGTAAGGAAAGTCTGTTGTTTCTATTAAAAGCTGCAGATCTGACTTGAGGCAGCAAGAACACAGACGACAACAATGAGGTTAATCTTCCCGGAGGTGAGGGAGAGAAGTATAATGCAGGATGGGGAGGGGGAGCTCACTTTCTAGAAGCCCCCACATATATTGTTGGGTTCAGCTTGGAGTCACATCTTGTGAGTATAACAAGTTCCAGCTGTTGTGACCTCTATGAGTCATCAGTGCAATACACATCTGGGCCATTATCCAACATACAAGAGGAGTGGGAGAGCTAGGGGGAGGGGGTGAAAAAAAGAATTTTTGAAGGGAACAGTAAGGGGAAAACACATTAGAAAATGTTTTCTGTCTACTTCAGCATGTATACAGCGGAAATCCAATGTAAGGGGAAATATAAGAAGACATGACTAGTATAAAAAAAATAAAATTCCAGTATATTATTATTATTATACAGTATTTATATAGCGCCAAAAAGTTTACTTAGCGCTGTACATTATAGTGGGAGACAGTACATGAGACAATACAGTAACAATACAATACACAAGGGGGTCAAGGGCCCTGCTCCTTGGAGCTTACAATCTAGGAGGGAGGGGATAGTGGTACAGGAGGAAATGGCTGTGGGGGATGGAGTGGTAGGAGGAGTGGAGGAGATCAGCTGTTAGGTGAGGGCGGGGTAGAAGAGATGGGTTTTCAGGGTGCACCTAAAGGTGAGGAGGGTAGGTGACAGTCTGATGGATTGGGGTAGTGAGTTCTAGAGGATGGGGGAAGACCTGGAGAAGTCCTGGAGTCGGGCATGGGAGGAGGAGACCAGGGAACTGGAGAGTAAAACTGGTGTATATATACACCGCAGTTTGTAGATGCCATAACCAGGGGCGGACTGACCATTCGAGCACTCGGGCGCGCTGCCCAAGGGCCTGGGGTCGGTAGGGGGCCCAATGAGATGCCCCTGGTACCTTTCATTAGTTTTTTCATAGGCTTTTTTGGGTGGGAGCAAGGACACAGGGGCCCCATGATCCCTATTGCCCGGGGGCCCCATGAGTTGTCAGTCCGCCCCTGGCCATAACTTTTGCACAAACCAATCAATATATACTTATTGGGATTTTTTCTTACCAAAAATATATATCAATACCTTTTGGCCTAAATTTATGCAGAAATTAGATTTTTTTTTCATCTTTTATTTGATGTTTTATAGCAGAAATGTATTTATTTTTTAACCACTTCAAGTCCGGACACTTTCACCCCCTTCCTGTCCAGGCCAATTTTCAGCTTTCAGCGCTATCACACTTTGAATGACAATTGCACGGTCATGCAACACTGTACCCATATGAATTTTTTGCATTTTTTTTAACAAATAAAACTTTATTTTGGTGGTATTTATTCATCATTGGGATTTTTATTTTTTTGCTATATAAATGAAAAAGTCAAAAAAATTTGAAAAAAAAAGTGTTTTTCTTATAAAATTTTGCAAATAAATAATCTTTCTTCATAAATCTTGGCCAAAATGTATTCAGCTACCTTTTTAGTAAAAAACAAATAACCCAAATTAGCTTATAACCAAAAATTATAATTTAAAATTTTTTTTTACATTTTAATTTTTTTTATATTATTATTTATGTGTTTTTTTTTTTAACATACTGTCACCCTAGCAGTACAGTGTCACCATAGTGACACTGTACTACTTTTTGGGGGTGATGATGAAGATTTTTTTTTTTGTTTACACTGATTGCTTTTAAATCCATAAAGGCTGTAAAAGCAATAATTTCTCCTCTCTGGCCAAATTCTTGCAGCCATTGAGAAATACTGTGAGAGCTGTTTTTGGTCACAGCTTGTCACACTGTACAAGGCTGTTGTGAATGGCCCTGTACCATGTGACCTCTGTGATCATTCACAGATTTCACAAGTTTTAAGCAATGAAGTCAGAAGTGACATCTTGCTTACTACTATTCATCTGATCACATGATTGGCCAATCAGTGGTCACATGATCAGGACCTCACACAGAGGTCCCATACAGCGATTGGGGAGGACACAGCGGGCACCGGATTGCGGTGCTGTGCGCTCCCAGGGAGCACAGGCAGAGAATCAGGAGGACGTTTATAAATGGCCACCCACTCCTGCAATGCTCCCTTCCGGCCATTTTTGTATATGGGCCTGACAGTTAGTGGTTAAGGAAGGTATTTCTGTAGTGATGTAGTATTTTAATTTGCATGCATTCCACGGTGCTACCTTCAGCTTGCACCAATGCATGTATATCTGTTTAAATGCAAATACATGGCAAGTGCTGATATATAAAAGCCCTAGCACAAAGGATAATGGCAACAAATCCCACAGAACATGCATAATAAAGTGCAGCGCTAAATATTAAATGTCATAATTAAGTGCAAAATTAGCAATAAAGTGTATAAACAATAACACTGAAGTGATTAAGTGGTATGATACATATATGCCCATCCAATAATAAAGGAAAGTGATGAAACACTGATGAAAAGGTGTCTGTGGTACTACAAAGCACAGCAATACCAATGCTGAATATCCAAAGAAGTGCTCTTAATCCTGTGACGAAATCCAACACCACTAATGGCTAAACACTCACCAGAAAGCTACTGGTAAAGTAGCATTAATGCTGATCTCATAGGTGAACACTCAGGGATCCATGTACAGAACGGACTTGTCCAATGAGTACTGATAAGCTCAGATCAGAAAGGGGATTTCTCCTAAGGAAAAAAGCTCATCACAGGAACCCAGGATTCATTATAGATAGTGTAGTATTTATTTAAAAGAAGTATAAAACAATCCACATGGAAAGAAACATAACCTGTTACAAACACATACCAAAAGAGTCACAAACGTGGCAGTGTAACGTCAGTACGTAAGGCTCCACCCAATGCGTTTCGTGTGCATGCATGTCCTCAGGGGTACGCCCATTGCCGATGTCATGGACAGACTCCATTTAAATAGCCTGCAGGGTGCGCAACCAATTAGCGGGCGCCATTTTCTTGAAACTCACAGACAAGGAAGGGCTCACCAAATGTGTTCACATTACAGGAGCCATAAATCTGTGGGGTAAAACTTACATCGATAATGACCAATTAAATAACAGCAGATAAATATAAAAAAGATATACATGTATGTATTATACCACTTAATCACTTCCGAGTTATTACATGTATATTACATGTATATCTGTTTGGTTACATGGACATCCATAGTCGAGAATTCCCAGACATACCCATACCAATGTGATTACATAAGTAGTCTTGATTGATGAACATTTCTATTAAAGGCTAGGCTGTGGAACTAAGGATCAAGCTGTGTCTGAGCGCCACAAACTGAAAACGCTTTTTAATTCTTTTTTAATATTCAAAGCAAACTCAGTAATCCATCTATGTCTCCATTCTTTATTTTGTTAAAAAATCACTTTGAAAAAGACCCTCTAGCATTTCTAGCAATATACATCTTGAGTGACCCTAGGTTCACACCTAAGCATTTTCTGCTTGTGTTTTTCAGAAACGCAGTACAGTCCATTAACATGCTTTCCTAAGGGACATGTTCACATCTCCGCATTTTCACCCGGTGTGTTTTTTGAAAAGGGTCAGGGACTTTTTTTAACGCAAAAAATTGCATTTTTGGTTCTATAGACTTCAATGGAAATGCTGGAAGAAAAGCTTGCATTGTATTTTTGGCTTGTTTTTGATGCGTTTTGCATTTACAATCTGCCTAGCAACAAGAAATAAATAAATACCGTATTTTCCGGTGTATAAGACGACTTTTTGACCCTTGAAAATCTTCTCAAAAGTCGAGGGTTCGTCTAATACGCCGGTATACGTCAGGGCGGCACTTTTTAGGGGGGCGGCGCGGTGCCGCCACCGTCCCCCCCCTTCTGACAGAAGGGACACTAAGTACAGGGTTGGGCAGAGGGCTGCTGTCTCTTACCTGGCTCCCACGACGATCCATCCAGGAAGCGCTGCTGATTCAGTCACTCTGGCCACTCCCTCACTCCTGCCGCTCGGCTCCGCCTCCTCACCAGTGATTGGCCGCCAGAACTGTAGCTCAGGAAAGGCACACAGGCGGACAATCACGGGCGAGGAGGCGGAGCCGAGCGGACCCACGAAAATCGAGTGAGGGAGCAGCCGGTAAGTGTGCAGTGCAGAGGTGCTGCTGCTGCAACCACATATGCTGGCTGCAGCAGCACCATACTGGAACAGGAGTCAGCAAGTGTCATTGGTGTCAGTGGGAGGAATAGAGTCCCATCATTGGTGTCACTGACACCAATGATGGGGCACTATTCCTCCCACTGACACCAATGATGGGGCACTATTCCTCCCACTGACACCAACGATGGGGCACTATTCCTCCCCCCACTGACACCAACGATGGGGCACTATTCCTCCCCCCACTGACACCAACGATGGGGCACTATTCCTCTCCCCACTGACGGGGTACTATTCCTCCCACTGACACCAATGTTGGGACATTATTCCTCCCACTGATACCAATGATGGGGCACTATTCCTCACACTGACACCAATGATGGGGCGCTATTCCTCCCACTGACACCACTGATGGGGCGCTATTCCTCCCACTAACACCAATGATGGGGTGCTATTCCTCCCGCTGACACCAATGAGGGGGCGCTATTCCTCCCACTGACACCAATGATGATGGGCGCTATTCCTCCCACTGACACCAATGATGGGGCGCTATTCCTCCCACTGACACCAATGATGGGGCACGATTCTTCCCACTGACACAAATAATGGGGCGCTATTCCTCCCACTGACACCAATGAGGGGGTGCTGTTCCTCCCACTGACACCAATGATGGGGCACGATTCTTCCCACTGACACCAATGATGGGGTGCTATTCCTCCCACGGACACCAATGATGGGATGCTATTCCCCCCACTGACACCAATGATGGGGCACGATTCTTCACTCTGACACCAATGATGGGGTACGATTCCTCGCTCTGACACCAATGATGGGGCACGATTCCTCGCTCTCTGACACCAATGATGGGGCACTATTCCTCCCACTGACACTAATGATGGGACACTATTCCTCACACACTGACACTAATGATGGGGCACCATCATTGGTGTCAATGGGAGGAATAGTGCCTCATCATTGGTGTCAGTGGGAGGAATAGTGCCCCATCATTGGTGTCAGTGGAAATCGTGCCCCATCATTGGTGTCAGAGCGAGGAATCGTGCACCATCATTGGAATACCATACCATATTGGAATCAAATCTGATGTTTTTTAATTTTTATTTGGTGTGCGTTGGAAGAGGGGTAGTCTTATACGGCGAGTATAGCCCAAACCCTATATTTTAACAGGAAAAGTAGGGGGTCGTCTTATACGCCGGAAAATACGGTAAATAAAGATGCAAAACTCATAAAAATTGCAGGTGTAAAAATGCAATGCAAAACGAAATGCAGAAATGGGTCATTGCCTATTTACTGGTAATAACCCACAGTCAGGTTATAGGTATTTTGCACTTGTGTATTTATCAGTGCTTGCAGTGATTTGTAGTCAACCAGGTATGTCAGAGGGGCCGAGGTTGCTCTTGGAGTCGAGACACAGAACAGAGAACCCAAATTTACCAAACGAGTCCTTTGGGGGTGGCGCTAGAGGCAAGAAGGTGTGCTTAGTTAAGAATGTCTCTTCTCACTTCTCCAAATGAAGGAACAAATGCCCATGAAGCCTCCTATAATGTATGACATCATTTTGGCCTACTGTAGGTCACAAACCGGGAAACAACTGAAGAAATGCTAAAAATGTTAAAACAAGAAAATATAATGTACCTTCTTATCTATTTACCAAAGCTAGCAGCATAAAAATTAAAAATAGTTCTTGTTGATTGAGTTTAGTTCTGTTTTAGCTACTTGCCTTGACCCCCATCTTTGGAGCTTTTTTTGGGATTTTTAATGTGGCTTTCCTACCTTTGGATAGCGTTGATGAATTACAACCTAATGGAAATTGCCAAAGACGTTTTGTATAATGGTTGCCAATGTATTATCATTTCAGTTCATTGTAAGTTCCATAGCTGTATTCTCACAGACTCTTGAACAGAATGTGGAAAATCCCATATCTACCATCATTTATCAAAGCACCTTCTGCTGACTTGCTGCACCACTAATTGCTCTGTGTGCATGATTTAAAACTAGTCGTCACTCAGGGGGGGACTGACAACTCATGGGGCCCCTGGGCAATAGGGGATCATGGGGCCCCTGTGTCCTTGACCAAACTGAAAAAAGCCTATGAAAAAGGTACCAGGGGCATCTCATGGGGCCCCCTACTGACCCCGAGCCCTCGGGCATTGCCCGAGTTTCCAAATGGTCAGTCCGCCCCTGTAGTCACGTCTTCCTCTTGCCTGTTTCCCATCTTTCGGATGGTCATGAAGTTTGCATACCAGTATAAAACCAAATCTGTATTTTTATGGATTTCTTTTACTTTTCAGTAGCTGCCTAAAAAATAAAAAAAAGTTGATATGTTTTCCTTTTACCATGAATGTTATCTCTACTTGCTACCATATTGGCCTGAAAATGATAAGGGGCCTATTTATACCAGAGAGGGAATACCACTATTCATAAAATACAAAACGAAGCGTGGATCCTGCAGTGTCCTACAGAGTGTTTTCTGCATCATGCTTCAGATAATATTTTGTGATAGAGAGAGGGGCCAATCACATAATTTTGACATGTCATGTTTATTTATTTATTTATTTATTTATTTATTTATTTACCAGCTTCCCTTCTCCCAACATTTTTATTCATTCATTGAAATAAAAGGGACTTCGCCTGCTTAAAAGTGACAAATAAGTGAAGTGCTAAACACATTGTAACGCAAAATGCCATGCTGTGTAAATGTACCATTGTTCTTTTTCAAATTAGCAGCATGGCCATAAATATGGCCATGCTGCTGTTTCAGAGGTGTTCCCCTTAGCTCTGCCCCGTCACTCAGATGTCAAATGTCAGAACTTCTGTGGGCAATAGATGCTCTGGCATTTGACATTTGGGGGATTGTTTTTGCCAGAGCACAAGGCTTCATATACAGCCTAATCATACAATCTAAAAGGCTGTATGGGAACATGATGGGATGAAGAGACAATGTTGCTTGCAGGCACCATGAGGTACTGCACTTCAGCAGTGTTGTTACATTTGAATAAAATGAAGGCTTTGCCAAGTTTACTTTAAGGTATCCATCAACATCAGATAATCCCGATGGAATGGCAGCTGGGACTTGTATATTATTGACACATCTGTTGAAGATATTCTCTTTTGGCAAGGAAAAACTTTCAACGCTGTCACAATGTTTCAGCTAATAGGCTAATGATTCTAGAATCGTAGAATATAAAATATACGTATGTTCATGATCCTGTTGGGGAAGAGAAAAATTGTTCAGGAGTTGGAAGATTTCCCAAACTCTGCCCATTGTCTGATGCCTATTAAAGTGGAGTTCTGAAAAAAAAAAAAAATAAAGGTCAGCAGCTACAAAAACTGTAGCTGCTGACTTTTAAAATACAGACACTTACCTGTCCCAGGGTCCAGAGGTGTCCTCACCACGGCTGGTTTCACCTGCCGTCTTCTCTCCCTGGCACCGGCATCTTCAGTGTGGGCACCAGCTATGACAGCTTGCAGCTTCACAGCCGGGTGTCCACTGCACATGTGCGAGAAGCACTGCGCTTTGTGAATGGCCCCGTAGTCTTCTGGGACCTGTCACGTGTCTCAGGATACTACGGGGAGGGAGAAGGGGAGGACAACTTCCGCTCCTGATTACCTAGACGATTGCAGCAGAAGTGGGAGCAGGTACCTGTCAAATTTGGGTACCCACTCGCAAAAGGTGCCAATCCTTAATGGGGAGCTGGGGACAAAGGCTTAAAAGCGGAACTTCCCCTTTTGGGTGGAGCTTTGCTTTAATGACTCTATATCTTAGAAGTTAATTCAGTTGCCCAAGGCTATCTATGCATAGGCAGATTTTCAGGGATGGGCAGAGGACTTTCATCTTAGCTTGTGTCCCATTGCTACAAACCACCAGCAATTGTTCTTTCTGACTTAGCTACCATATAGACATGGAAATCTTGTGACCTATAGTGTTCTTCTATGGAGACAAATAGGAATCATGGGAATTTAGTTGGCCTATCCTATAACTAATTTTCTAGAAGCAATATTTCAGCAGGAATGGCAATAGCACTGACTGACATACACAGGGGCGGACTGACCATTTGGGAACTCGGGCACTGCCTGAGGGCCTGTGGTCAGTGGGGGGGGACCCATGAGATGCCCCTGGTACCTTTCATAGGCTTTCTTGGGTGTGGTTTAAGTGTGGGCGAGGACACGGGCCCCATGATCCCTTATTGCCCGGGGGCCCCATGAGTTGTCAGTCCACCCCTGGACATACATATACAGTAGCAACAAGCACATGAAAACCTAAACAGTATTTTATCTAAATCCAGAAGCAGAAATGTAATGCAGTGCACTATACCAGTCTTTGTATGAGGTGGCTGCATTAGGTTTCCTTTTTCACTTTTTCCTTTTTCTATGACCGGTGACCCTACAATTAACACATTTCACATAACTCACTGTATTTTATCTATGTAAAAACAATGTCAGCCCCCCTATGTAGGATATTGTAATTATATATATATATATATATATATATATATATGGCATATTCACGTTATTGACCAAAAGGATAGCCAAGGACTCCTTACCATGTTAATTTATGCAGGAGGTAATTACTGTACCTTTGTTTTGTTGGGCTAACCTGTCTTTGGATAAATATGTGGAAAGTCACGGGGGGAGTTTCAGAGCAGGTTATTTGCAAATCTACCAGCATTGATAAATGCAAGTTTATCTGATTAGATTTGGAAAGGTTTTATATTCATGAGGCCCTTGTTTATGAGAAATAGCCTTTTTAAAGAGGTGGAGTCTTTACCTACGCAAGAGGAGTAAAAACATGCAGTTTTCTCTTAAACAGTATAAGAAGTATATGGTTAATGGGTTTAGCACGTCTTAAATATTCATAGTGTACTTGTTTATGGTGAATAGAATTTCAACGTGGGTGGTGTGTCCACCTTTGCACAAGGATGGTAAAGATTGCAGGCTTGCCATAAACAAGACAAGCAGTATCTATTTAACTTTTCAATTAAAATCTATGTATACAGCTGTTCTAGGTCTAGACACATTGTTTGTAACACATAAGATCAAACATGCTCATAAAGCCAACCAATCAGATTGCTTGACATTTGAGTCAATTGGGAAAAGGTGTACAGTATATTAGGGAAGGTTTTTTGGTTGAGTTGTGACAGGAGAAAGTGAGTCCTCTAAAGGTGTCTGATGGTTGCATGAATGTTCTAAGTACCCTGTCATCTGCCTTGTCTGTACCTCTGTTTTAGTCCTCATGCACCCTGGACGTTTTTACAGCTGCTGTTTTTGGCATATGACGTTTTTTCCTACAGCCAGTAAACCCCCCAGCGTGTTATCCTATGTGTCCATGCACACACAGACTGTAATCAACGTTTTTGGGCAGGGACGTTTTTTGGCTGGAAAAAAAAACCCAGGACTGGTGGGTTTCTAGAGGAGTTTTTTAGCCGTAAAAATGTTCTAACGCTGAAAAACGTGGCAAAATGCAGTAAAATGCAGCAAACCAGCGCTTTTGGACTTTTTTGACCAAAAACCTAAAAAAAAGAAAGTGCCACAACGCTGCTAAATGCTAATGCAAAATGCTAAAAAAAGCTGCAAAACTCACGGTTTTAACGTAACTTTACACAGCTAACGTTACCAGCATTATCAAAACGCCCCGTGTGCATGGAGCCTTATGTATTATTTCTGAGCTGATTAAATGCATCTCTCTGGAAAAGAACTATTGGACTAGTTGCTGTGGGAAAATACATTTATAAATAAATCATCCGTCTAATTGATATAAGACAATACCTTAGATACCTCCAAC